AAGACTACTCACTGAATTCATCGCTTTTCCATTACGGTTCCTGCAATTTGTGTAAAACTAGCTTTTTCTTTGAGAAGGAAAAGGCACAGAGATCAAGCGCAGACAGGCCATCAGATTGTCAGGGAGGAGGTGAGAAACCTATCCAAGGCTTTAAATTGCCTAAGATCCATGAGTGTATAGCACAGTTGTCCCAGTTTTGCATGCAATGCATGCATGCATTGCTCCAAAAATTATACATGCAAGGACAGGATTGAGAACAAGAGGAAAATCTCACACAGCCTTGCTTGCAAGAGGGAAAAATGATACAATCCATTGTTCCCACCTATGAGAATAAGACTGTCCCCCTTGCTTAGTGTCACAAGTTTTTCCCTTGGCCACTATCCTCCTTAACGACCCTTCAGGTGGATTGACTTAACAATACAGTACCTCACTTTGGGAGAGACGTATGTGTGAAGTGGGTGGGCAGGTGTCTCCAAGTCTGTAACTAATAGAGAGATCTTTACGGATCTAAAATCAAAAGCAGTTTCTACCTTCTGTCCATTTCACGGGACTCTCCGAGGCATATGAAATGTCACATGATTGATTTGGAAGCTCCCACCATGGTTGGAAATTGGAAAGTAAAATTTCCAAGCTTTGTCCTTTAAAAAAAAAGAGAGAAATTTAGCAATACTAGAATTATGGAAGAATTGAGTAGGAAGGGGCCTATAAGGCCATCCAGTCCAACCCCCTGCTCAAGGCAGGAATCCAAATCAAAGCAGATCTGACAGAAGGCTGTCCATTTTTCTCTTAAATACCTCCAGCACTGGAGTGCTCATTGCCTCCCAAAGTCATTGTTTCCGTTGTCGTACTGCTCTAACAATTAAAAAGTTTTTCCTGATATTCAGCCGAAATCTAGCTTTCTGTGACGTGAGGGCCCCTTGTTGCGTGTCCTGCACTCTGGGATGATCAGGAACAGATCCTGACCCTCCTCTGTAGGACTACCTTTCAGCTCTCTGAAAAGTGCTCCTTCAGTCTTCTTTTCTCAAGGCTAAAGAAGCCCAGTTTCTGCAGTCTTTCACTAGATTGAGATGGAAACGCTGAAAGACACAAGACAACAGTTCCCCTGGGCCAATTTTTGGGAGCTGCACCAAAAGACTTTCACCATCTCTTAAGGTTGTAAGTACACCAAAAAGGGTGCCTGCTGGAGATTTTTTTGATCATAAATGAAATGTGCCAGGCCTGGAATCTCCCTGAAGTCCAGAAAGATAACTTTTTTCCCTGGAGGAATACCTTTGCTCCGGTCACAAAGACGCCATCATGGTCTACTTCTGCACTGCTCAGTTGCTGTCCCAGGTCTGGTCACACCTGGGCAGGCAGGAGTCGCCGGGAAGTTCACCTGAGAGGGCAAAAGGGTGCCGAGAGCCTTCTTTTCCTTCTGCCCTCCCTCTTCCCCTCTCTGGCCATTCCCTGACCGCCCCAGGCTCGCAACCACCAGCTGCTCCCGGGCTGACTCCCTTCTGGGGGCAATTTTGATGCAGCGCCATGGCAACCATGTGCAGAAGAAGGCAGCAGCTCTCAAAGGATGTGGGTCTCTTGGGAGGCAGTTTCTATAGGAACTGAGAACACGGCAGGATGGCAAGGCACCTATAGAAAAATCCTCGAGGAGGCCACATCAGGGACCTTGGCATCGCGCGGCAGCATAACTAGCGTCCAGAGGGCTCTGGAAACAATAAGCCAGCTCCAGAGGCTGAGCAATTCTTCCCCATTTTGGTTCCCTGCATGGGAACAGAGGAGGGGGACAGCCAAAAGCACAGGCTGGATGGAGCCCCTTCGGGTCCTCCTGCAGGGCCCCCTTCTTTTCCTGGCTGGTGCCAGGCAGGCACTCAGACCCCCACCCACCCACTCACCCACCCAGTCCCCCACAAGGGCAGGATGCACATTTAATAAACAGACGTCCCTGGGCCGCTGGGTCTCAACTTTGGGTCTCCAGAGGTTCCTGGGCTGCAACTCCCAGAGTACTTGTCCAGCACGGCTGGTGGTGAAGGCTTCTGGGAGTTGTAGTTCTAGACCCTCTGGGGACCCAAGGGTTGCACGACAAGGTCTGGTCCCTCCCCACGAGGTCTTTTGACACCTTGAGAGACCATGGTTGCAGAAGGAATGCCTGATATCTCAGGTAACGAATGGCTTTTGTGCAGCAGGATAGCACTGGCTCAGGGTATGTGTGTTTCCTAAGGTTCTCACATGCAACGGTATTTAATCTGCTACCGGAGCAAAGCTGTTGTAAGCCACAGAAAAAATTATGAAAGCATCCCCACCCAATAGAATAAACGTGAAAGTCTTTCACACCTCAGAATGCCTTCCTGTTAAGGGGAGGCAGCCTAAATGTCTCTGTACGATGTCCAGTTCTGGCTCGGGTTCTCTCCAGACAGCCTTCCTAGGAAGTCAAGAATTCTATGACTCTGCCTATGTGAGTTAGATTATTTCACTGCTTCTGATTTTGGATAAAGGCCAAGAATGCTTGGCTCACATGAATGGCTGCGTGCTGGACGAAGCAGGTTGTGACAGGCTTGCCACACGCACACACGCATACACATACCCCGCAAAGCGAGTAGGCACACAAAAGTTGCAAGACCTCAAAAGTTCTGATCTGAGTCTGACTCAAAGGCACCCTTGCTGATCCCCAGCAGGAGCTTCAAGATGTGTTGGGCTACGATTAACATCATCCACGGCCAGCATGGGACGATGGGAATAAGGCAGCAACACACCTGGAGGCCAGGACACGTGGAACCATGACACCGCTTTTAATGCCGTTGAAGGTTCCGTCCCCATCCTCTGGACGTTAGGAAATGGTTTTGCACGTCCATGAAGCCCGGAAGAAGGTTAATAATTGGAATAAGTTCTGGCAGTTACTAATTAGCACCATTACACAATCAGTTCACATTCTAACAGCATTAGGCATACTTAATCAGTCAATTATCATTGATCCCCAAAAGTGCTTCCTCTAAAGTTAGGAAATGGTAAGGTGCCTTTGTAAGTTTGACAGGGTACTAGTAGCCATTAGGGTGAGAAGGATCGGTTTCCAGGAAAGAGTGTCCAGCTCTTCAGACAGAAGATAGAGAGAAATAAGGGAAGAGCATTGCTACTGAGAATCTATTCCCAGCCTAGGATTTCTTGCCTGAAGCTTTTCCTGTGCCCTTATAGAAATGAATAGTTTGTCCCAGATGTGCTGCTCTAATTCATCCAACAATAAGCTTCCGTAAGGCTTTAGACTTTTGGCTAGATATTTAAATCTGACATCAGCTTAGGGAAGCCGATGGAGGTGCTTAATAGCTTCATTGAATCCCAATTAGTGTGATGGGACAGATAGTTCCCAATGGAAAGTTTTGAGCCAAGGCATTTACAGTTTTTTCCCTCTCTCTTATGTTATCACACAGAGGGCAAAGTGTGGTAAATGAGGGATGTAGGGGAGCCTCACACAAGATCTTTAAAAACAGTTTCCATTTGTGTAAGGCACACAGATACACAGAATGGTACCGTGACTTTGGTCTTTCACTGTTGGCACTCTTGATGGTCTGATTTCTAAGGATTGGGTTTTACCAGGGCTGTTTCTGGCTCTGGAAGGAGAGAGCTTTTTTGGAATGCTTGTGTTGAGTAAGAGGAGTCCTAGTGCCAGATGGACAGCAGAAGACAACAAGTGGTTGCAAAATAAATGGAAGGAATCACGGGGGCTAAGGAAAAGCCCACCACTGGGTTGCAAAAGCACCTGGCATTCTGCATCTCTGCTGAGTCAAGGCATCCCAGGGCTGGTTTTCCCATCCCAAGCTGGTTTCCTTCTGGCACAACACTTCTTATGGGATGGGGGTGGGAGTGGGTGCGGAGCAGGAAAGGGGAACAAGGATGCAGGGGAACCGGCAGAGTATACAGGCACACACAAATACACAGATTTTTTTCTTTCACATCACAGACCCCTGCCAGGCAGTAATCAGCCAAAAGGTGACTGGCGAAGAATTTCGTAAACTTGAATACTCCAGCGGGAGTCTGGGAGGTACAGTCTGATAACCCCACACACACACACACAACCCAGCTTTCCTAAGCGCCCTGAGCCATGCTACAGCCAGGATATAACTCAAGGGGTGAGTGGCACCCTTATAAGAGTAGAAGGGCCGGTGGGCTCGGCGATAGCACACACAAGAACCATCCAACCAACCGATACGGCCTCTTCCGTTTTACTGCTTGGCACCACAGATCAAAGTCAAACAAGGACGAATACCAGAAAGGGTGGGTTGAGACTGTTGCCTGCTGGGTTGGTCGGGATCGCCAGAATGCTACTTTTCTGAAATTTTGGCTTGGCTTCTGGCCATCCAGCGATCTTTCCTGCTTCATGAAGACTCCCAACTCCAGCCATCCGCCGTCACTGGGCACCTGAGGTTGTGTTTACTGACTTCTGCTGATGGATGGCTCCAGGTACTCTCTTTCAAAGTTTGACCGCCATCCCCTGCTGCTCGGAAGTTCTGCATGGCACCGAGGTCAACCAATGAGCAGCTCCTGTAGAAAGATGAGGGTCTCTCCTGTGTGGTTCCTCACCTCCTCCCAGCCCTTCCCCAGCGGGAAGAACCCACCGGCTCCCCCCCCTCCGGACTCCCTCTGTCTCGTGGTCTCCAGATTCTAAGTCACCTCGGCTGCTCACGGAGGGAGTCCCCAGCCTTGGAAGTTGTTAGAATGAGACGAGACACACGGGATCCGATCGCACCCGAACCTTGAATGATAGGAATATTTGCTCTCTCTCTTCTTTTTTATTCAGAAATTTACCTTAATTACATTATGTAACATTACAGTCTACTTTACAAGTTTAAGGAACAGAACGGTTGGGGACCGAAGTTTGGACCGGTTATACAGAAACAACAGATGGAATTAAAGAAAACAAAAAAAAGGAGAAGACTTAAACATAAAATGTTAATTTAAAAACAAACAGAAACCATGAAGAACTGAGGAGATAGGCCATTTTTGCCAAGAAAGGGTAATAAGAAACCAACAGCACTAATTTACAGTCTTGATTCTTCATGCCCTTTTGGGAGGGGGGCACGTGGGTCTCCAACAGCACCATCATCCCCTCCCCCTCACCCCCTCCTTTTCGGAGCAGAGGTTGACTCGTGTCTTGTGGCTCGGCCTCATCCTGCCAGGAGGAGGAAAATGGAGAGGACTGGCCATGTTCACAACTTCACAACTGAGCTGCCACCGTCTAAAGGAAGAGAAGGGCGAGAGTCTTCCACTGGAACTCAGTTCGGGTGGGTTGAGGATTCGGCACCAGGAAGCAGTTTGCTTGGAGGTATTTTGGGGTGGGGGTGGGGAAACTAAGCCAGGTCCACACCCCGCCCTAGCCTTCTCTCAAACGTAGAACAGTCTTACTCTGGAAGTGCTTACGAGGAGGTTGTCGTCAAAAAACTTGGTCTCTATGATGACGTTGCCGCTGCAGAAGAGGAAGAAAAGGGGAAGATGAGGGTCAACGGAAAAGCGACAGGGCTCAAGAGGGGATGCTGCGAAAGGCGACCCTCGCTGAAAGACACACAGAAGAGCACTAGGAAGTGAAACAGGGCCTGTTACGTGGAAAAGACAAGACGGCATTCACAGGGCGGTGGAAACCCTTCCTGAGTTGCTAAGAGAAATTCTACACGTAGCACATAAGAGTCGCAGCCTGCAAGGGAGGCCAACGTAGCGCTGGCGGTGCTCATGGGCGCATGCCTCCATCACATGACCAGACAGGGGCCCAGGAGGGGGAACCAACCTCTTGTTCATGAGAGCAAGGGGCCACCAAGAGCTGACACTCTTTCCCTTACACAAGCGTAAAAATAAGCAGTAGGGTTCTTTCCTAAAATGTTTCTTTCCTAAAATGCCTCGTCTACTTGCATCTGGAAGGGGAGAGGATCTAACGTTTCCAAACCATCCTCTGCCGCCACAAGATGCACGTGGAAGTGAGAAGGGGCCGGTCTATCCTTTCCACACATGCGTTTTAGAGATGTGTGGGTCAGAGAGGTGAAAGAGAAATACAGCTGCCTCCCGCTGTGATGTCCTGTCGGGCCCTAAAGGACCCAATGGGGCCTGTTGGTGTGACTCTTCAGAACTAGGCTCCCCCCCCCCCGGGAGGGGACAGACAGACCGTTGCAAACATTCACCATTAAAGTAAATACTGAAGAGGGGTGGCGCTTTACGGTATAACTGCACCACAACTCTTATTTGATATTTATCGTGTGGTGCCCTTATGGAGTAGGAATCCTCTATCCATGGGATCAGTATCCACTGGTTCACTTACCCACCAGTGGGGGGAAAAACTAAATACAGTGGTGCCTCGCATAGCGAGGTTAATCCGTTCCGGATTAACCTTCGCTATGCTGAAGCATCGCTGAACGGGGCAGGGATTTCCATTGGAACGCATTAAACATCGTTTAATGCGTTCCAAATAGGCCAAATGCTCACCGTTCAGCGAAGCTTCAGGATGGCCGGCAGCCATTTTCGCGCCCTCGCCTTGCTTAACGAGGGCGCGAAAACGCTGCGCGCGGCCATTTTGGGCCATTTCCTGGCTGATCGTCGGGGGGTTGTTTTGCGAAGATCGGTAAGCGAAACGCTTACCGATCTTCGCAAAGCGAATTTTTCCCCATTAAAAAAACGTTGAGCGATCGCATTAGCGATCCGAAAAAACGGATCGCTATGCGATTTCATCGTTATACGGTGCGCTCGTTAAGCGAGGCACCACTGTAATATATTTCCAGTGTGTGTTTACATGCGCCCGTTGTGCGAGGCACCACTGTAATGCCTTTATATGTATTTCCAGTGTGTATTTACGTCAACTGGCCACTAGAGGGAGCCAGAGACCATGCAATGTACAGTGGGCCCTCAACATACGAACGCCCTAGTTGCGAACGTTTCGGGTTACGAACCCGATCTCATAGGAAACTATAGACCCTACT